TCACAGTGGGGGCCAAGTTTCTAATACATAAATCTTGGGAGACAATTCAAGCTTCAGTAGTTTTGGGGGGACATAATTCAGTCCACTACAGGTAGAGTGCTTTGCTTTGCCAAATATGTTTTGACTTTGATCTCTAAATTCTTATTGGATTCTGTTAAATCACGAGAAAAAGCACTTTTGTGGTAGATTTGCTTATTGTGTCTTCAAAAAGCAGCGTAATAGGGGCCTGTGCCTTAAACCTTATCTTTATTAGGTAACTTACATTCGTCTAAGGCAGTTGGTTAATGTTTGTTTCAGCAAAACTTACATGAATTATTTAAATGAAATTTTTTTTATCGTGGTTAAATACACAGAAAATTTACCATTTTAATTACTTCAGAGTATACAATTCAGTGGCATTTAGCAGGTTCACAATGTTGTGCACTTGTCACCAATATAAATGAACAGTTTTAAGTCACATTCAAAAAGATATAGCTGTAACTTTTCTTTGAAGAAAATTTAGAAAATATTAATAGTTTGTTTTATTTTTTTCTCTTTTTCTACACTATTCATTTTTATATAGTTGAGATCATAATATATATAATTTTTGTGTTCTGGGTCTTGTGAACATAGTTTTGTTTTTTTTTTTTTTTAAGATGACCGGTAAGGGGATCTTAACCCTTGACTTGGTGTTGTCAGCACCACACTCACCCAGTTAGGTAACCGGCCATCCCTATATGGGATCCGAACCTGTGGCCTTGGTATTATCAGCACCACACTCTCCCAAGTGAGCCATGGGCCAGCCCTGAACGTAGTTTTTAATAGTTACTTTATATTCCATAGTATGTGCCTTAACCATTTTACTGTAACATTATTTATAGAAGCTAACATTTATTGAACACTTACATGTTTATTTACAATATGCCAGGCATTCTGCCAAACACTTCATGTGTTATGATCTCACTTAATTGTCATCACAAGCCTCTAAGAAGGCAGTATCATTATCTCTATCTTACGGGTGGTGACACTGAGGTTCCAATAACTTGCCCTGTGTTCCACAACTAGCATGTGATAGAGCTGCAGGTGGGGCCCAGGCAGCCTGGCTGCAGGGCCTCGGCTTTGGCACCTGTGGGCAGCCTGCCTGTGTGAGGCCCACACGGGGTCCTGGAGAGGCTGAGCTCAAGGTTCCCTGGGTTCCATTGGAAAAGTTGGCAGATGATGTTATGACTCTTGAGTTTTATATAATAAAGGAGCTGAAGAGAGTACTGATTCCTGCACATGTGCTGGCAGCCACTGTGAGGGGTGATTTTTGTGAATTTCACTTAAGGATTGTTCTTGGATGCTGTTAAGCAAAAATACTGTTTGGGCAGTCTTTGAGAGAGCAGCTTGTGGGTTTTAGCATTAGTGGGGTGGCCTGCCTAGTTTGAGACCCTTGTCCAGGACATTAGACATATCCTATGTCCTGGGTTATTGTAGAAGGAGGGATTTGTGTCCACCGGGCCCTGAATCCCAGTTGCCACCTGCCTCCTTGTGTTTTCTTTTCAGCATGACTGATGGAGCCCAGCAAGCCTTGAGGAGAACCATGGAAATCTACTCCAAAACAACTCGCTTTGCTCTTGCTTGTAATGCTTCGGACAAAATCATAGGTGAGTGTGGCTCTGAGTGGCTGGTTCACATAGTGCTCACTTTGGCTGCTTAGCAGCAGAAGAGCAGAGACTTTTTGATTGCCTACCATGGGCCAAGCACTGGATAGTCAATTTTTTATTTCAATTTTTTTAAATTGACGAATAAAAATTGTATACATTTATCATTTCAAAATGTACTCAGTTTTTTAATCTTTTGCGACTTTTTGATTGCCTACCATGGGCCAAGCACTGGATAGTCAATTTTTTATTTCAATTTTTTTTTAATTGACGAATAAAAATTGTATACATTTATCATTTCAAAATGTACTCAGTTTTTTAATCTTTTGCGATTCTGTGAGGAGGTATTATTAGCATCACTTTACATATTAGAAAACAGGAGCTCAGAGAGGTTGAGTAGTTTGCCCAAAGTCACATAGCAAGCGGAAGAGCTGGGACTGGAATCCCAGGTCTGTCTGACCTTTGCGCTCTCTCAGGCACATGTGCCGTTTTTGATGTGTTGTGCACAGTGTCGTCATCACTGTTCCTCACCAAATACACTCTTACACTTTTCTTGTGCTGTGTGCACTTGGCACAGACTGTATCTGTGCACTGAGCTTTGTTATCACCAGGAATTGCCTCTCCTTTTCACGTGGTACACCTCTGAAGTCTTCTCTCTGACCTCAGAGTTGGTCCTTCCAGCTCTCCCTCCCGGGAGCCTGTCTGTGTCCTGGTGCTCTGTGCCTTCCCATCTCAGCAGTGCTCCACAGGCCCGTGGCTTCCTGCTGGCTGCACGCCCTTCCCTTTGTGATGCAGACTGCATGCCCACCTGCATGCTCTCTCTCTACCCTGTCCCATGGCTTTCCTGTCTGTCCCATTGTCCTCGCCTTCCTTGTGCCCTGCTGAGCCCTGCTGAGCCCCACTGTATGAGCTCATCCTTCTGACTTCCCTTTCTCCACCTAGGCCTGTGCGCTGTTGCAGACAAGCACTTCACCAAATGGGAGGCCCCCAGATGCTGTTTCCAGCCTCTGCAGGGCTCTCAGTGTTGCCAGGAATTCTTTTTTGTGGGGCAGCTGGTAGGTATGGGGATTCGAACCCATGGCCTTGTAGTTATAAGGTTGCACTCTAACCAAAGACAGATCTTTTAGGGCAGGAGTGGTGTTATACTTACAGACCCACCCCCACCCCGAGATGTAGCTGGCAGAGGGCTGTGCTTTAGCAAGGTTGTTTAGTGATTTGAAACTGCAGTTGTTGGTGGAGAAAGCTCTGACCTTCCCTTTTCATGAGATTAATTTTTCTGATACATTCAGCATTCTGATTATTTTAATTGTCTAAGGGGATATAGCAAACAGGTAAGTGAAAGCCTTAAAGAAATTTATCTTTGCTTTAGAGGAAGTGGATCATGATCCAATTCCTGCTGAGTTGATTTTTGAAACTTTTCCTCCTAGAGTCATACCACTTAAGAGAGAAGTGTACTTTCTTTGAGGAAGGCCATGGCTGCCTGATCTGACACTTATTTAAATTCTGTGCATTAAGCTTTTGGTACTTCTCAAGAGAGAAAAACCTACTAAAGGAAATTTCTGATGTAGTTTGAATATTAATTGCTTTTAGATACAAGCTCCAGTTCCTAAGCGTAATGTAATTAAATATGTAAATGAAGTTCAGTTGTGAAGCTTCCTGATTTCAAATAAGTTGAAATGGACTACCTGTGTAGAAAGCTGCTCTTTTAAGAGGTCTCATCCATTTGGCAAACACTGAGCACCATTTATGTGCAGAGCAGCCGCTATATGCAAGGCATATGTACATATGTCCACTGTGTAAGCTGGAAGCTACAAATCTGCCTGAGGCTCAGCCCCTGCCTCCCAGGAGCTCCCACAAGAAAAGGAGAGGTGACTCCCCCAGCTAGGAAGGTCTGTGTCACCCCAAGTTCTTTGCTCACCACCGCAGCCAGCCTGTTGACAGAATCACATCCAAAGTCCTCCTGCTTCAGCAGTGTCTCAAGCTCCCACCCCTCCTTCCCTCACCCCAAGCTTGTGGTCTGTCTCTCTCTCCCCTCGATGGGTGCAGTGTTCCCTGGGCTTCTCTTGCACCTGAGTCACCAGATGGCCTCCAGGGTCATCTAAGAGCAAATCTGCCCCTGCCCCTCTGCTGCTGCACCTTCAATGGACTCCCGTTGCCTGCATGGTTTCCAACCACTGCATCCACACACTGAGGGGGGATGGCTTGTTTTCTGCAACTAGATTAATAGGAGTAGGTGTTTCTTGAAATCGTGTGTGAGAACAAAGCAGAGAGAGGCCACTTCAGTCTGGGGTGATCGGGCCAGGCTACACAAGGAGGTAGGTTTGCAAGGTGCACTGAAAGACGGTTGTGGTTTAGACAGGAAGACACTGGGAAAGAGGTCATCCTCGGTGGAGAGCCCACCAGGAGAGGGCAGAATTGTCTTGTTCCAGGGGAGACGAGGAACAGACGTGGGTTTAAGAGAGAGAAAGGTGAGGTTTGCAGAAGAGTTTAGGTACCAGGATAAGAGTCTGGACCATATGGGAGAGTTGGTATTAGGGGACTGTCGAAGGGTTATCCTTACAGGAAGAGGTGACAGGTAAAATATTTTTAGGTTTAGAGTGTCATTTTTAGGTCTGGAAGAGCAAAAAGAAAAAGTTTTTAAAAGAAGAAAACAGCATTTTTAGGAAGGCCAGTGGCAGCAGCACAGAGGAAGAATCAGAGAGAGACCAATTAGGGTTTGGACCTAGTAGAGAAGTGATTGTAGTAGTCTAACATGAAGGTAAAGGAGAGTTCCAGGACCCTGCGTTTGTCTGTCTGGAGGTTTTCAGCCCAGCTGTGCATCAGACTCTCCTGTGGAGCTAGGATGGAAGTGTGCAGGTGTCTCGTTTCTGCCCCCGCCTGACTGAATCATAGTCTGCCCAGAAGGGCCTTATGTCCAACATGCACCGTGATTCCAAAGTCCACACGGCTGGCCGGGACTCAGGGCTCATGACATATGGCTCTGTCTGTCCTGCAGGATCATTTCCCCTTCTGCAAGCCGTGGCTATCCAGGGTCGTCCAACATGCACCGTGATTCCAAAGTCCACACGGCTGGCCGGGACTCAGGGCTCATGACATGTGGCTCTGTCTGTCCTGCAGGATCATTTCCCCTTCTGCAAGCCGTGGCTATCCAGGGTGCTGGGCAGTGCTGGCTGAGGCCTTTTGTTGCTTATTGGTTGGTATTCTGAAGTGTAGCCCTGTTTTACCAAGTCACTCTTGAGCGCTTGCTGGCAGGAAGAGCAGCGCCAGCATGGCTGGGCCGTGTGGACTATGCAGCTGTGTCCTGGTAACCAAAGTCTGACAGGGTGACACAGCCTCCACCAGGGAGGCCTCACGTTCTGCCTGTCTTTGCCCAGAGCCCATTCAGTCCCGGTGTGCTGTCCTCCGCTACACCAAGCTGACTGACGCGCAGATTCTTGCCAGGCTACTGAATGTCATCGAGAAGGAGAAAGTGCAGTACACGGACGATGGCCTGGAGGCCATCATCTTCACCGCCCAGGGAGACATGCGGCAGGTACACGGCCTCCTGGGCCTGCCGGGCCCCTCGTTTGGGGGACGAGGGAAGTGACTGGGCACAATGACTAGGCCGAGTGGGGACATGGGACTGGCCCTGCTGGGGCTACGCACTGCTGGAGAGCAGGCCTGGAGGGAGGGTGGCCTTGCTCAGACCCCAAGAAGAGAGGTGAGGAAAGGCAAAGATTTAGAAGTCAACCCTGCCGCGTTCATGTTCCTCAACAGGCGCTGAACAACCTGCAGTCCACCTTCTCGGGATTTGGCTTTATTAACAGCGAGAATGTGTTCAAGGTACAGAAGCCGGTTTGGCACCACCATCTACAAAACAGTTGTTCACCTGCCAGTTCACCTGCCGTGGCCAGCGGGGTAGGAGCAGACTGTGCAGGCAGACAGGGGACACTCAGCCACTGTCACGGGGCTGGGCTTGCCTCTCTGGGAGGAGGGTGCTGGGAAGCTTGCACTACTCCAGCTTTTTTTTTTTCCCGGTCACTGCTTTTACTTTGGAATGTCACCTGGGTGTGGACAGTGGAAGGACCACTGATGCATCAGGCCTGGTGCTGGCGCTTTCAGATGCATCTTACTGGTCCCCGCAACCTCCCTGCACAGAGATGTTCTTACCGTCACTCTGTGGGTGAGGAACTGGGCTCAGGTGGCTTGTCTGAGGTCACTTGGCTGCTAAATGGCAGGAAGGAGCACGGCGGGCATGTTCCACTCAGCAGCTTTGTGACCCCACACCCGGAGATTTTCTGCAGCACTGCATCCTGCTCACCACTTTCTACCCACCAAGGGTAGGTGGCAGTCCTCCCCAAAGCCAGGCTGAGGAAAAAGTCCTCACTCTTCCACACTGGGGAAGCATTTAAATTTTGGGAATTCATTTGAAAACTGGCCACCACACCCTGACAAGTCAGCATCTAAATGCCATTTTGGGGTAAAAATTACTTACTTTGGGTAAAAATTGGGTAGGGCTGTCCAAGCTTTCAGTTGTTTCTTACCAGGTTTGTGGGTAGTGAAAGCCGTGTTAAAAGCATCTGTTTAGACCTTGGCAATGAACATGTTTTCAAAGATACTTAGGAAAGGGAAACTTGCTTAGTAACTGATAGTTAAATGACTGATAGTTTAAATAACTTAAACTTAGTAACTGATAGTTAAGGCCCTTTCTTGTCGTGGAGCAGGCATTGAGGCCTCCTTGGCTTCCACTGGGAAGACAAGGACAGGCATAGATGCCGTCCCAGGATATTCGTTCGGAAGATTTAGATGCGATATTGCACCAGAGGCAGAACCTAAGGCCAGTGGAGGGCACTGCAGCAAGGCTGCCTTGGGCTCAGGGAGAGCTGAGCCACCCAGCACCACCCTGTGGTGAGCAGCTCAGCACACTCTTCAGCTCATCACACTGAGGCTGGGGGACCCTTTGCAGGGAAAGCCGATTTCTGTTCCGGGGGCAGATGGCCCAAATGACCTCTCAATTATTAAGTGGGCTACAAGTAGTTCTGGGCAAATGATCCCCCAAGTGATCTAAGACAGATGGCTTTAAAGCTGCCCCTGAGTGAAGGTTTTTTATTGGTCCTTGGTTGCTTTATTGTTAATGCTCTTGTGTTTGAGAAGTTTGTAATCATGATGTTGGAAGCTTTTCTATTTCGTGATTTCTTTGGTGGCGAAAGGGACTTTCCCAGACTTCTTTCTGGTTGCTGGAGAATCTGATGAGAACAGTGAGCTGAGAAGCTGGTCACATAGATTGCCCACAAGCTGGTCCCTCCCACCCAACGCCTTTCTTTTCGGTTTGGTCAGGTCTGTGACGAGCCGCACCCCCTGCTGGTGAAGGAGATGATCCAGCATTGTGTGAACGCCAACATCGAGGAAGCCTACAAGGTTGGGCCCACCCCCTCCTGGTTCAGGAGGCACCTGTCACTCCTGGAGCAGGGCAGCAGGAGCCCTCCTGTTGCTGGGGACTTTACAAACATCGAGGAAGCCTACAAGGTTGGGCCCACCCCCTCCTGGTTCAGGAGGCACCTGTCACTTCTGGAGCAGGGCAGCAGGAGCCCTCCTGTTGCTGGGGACTTTACATGTGTTGCTCCACTTAGTTCTTAAAGTCATGCTAGGAGTTGGGTGCAATTTACAGATGAGAAAACTGTCATTGAGAGAGGCTAAATTCCTTTCACTGAGTCACCCTGTTTAAAAGTAGTAGACCTGGGGCCGGCTCCATGGCTCACTTGGGAGAGTGCGGCACTGGTAGTGCCGAGGCCGCGGGTTCGGATCCTATATGGGGATGGCCGGTGCACTCACTGGCTGAGCATGGTGCGGACCACACTGTGCTGAGGGTTACCGGTCAAAAAAAAAGTAGTAAGGGCCGGCCCGGTGGCGCACTCGTCCCTTGGGATGACTCTCTTCATTAGAAGTCCTGTTAGTCAGATTAATTGTGGTATACTTTACATAGAGTAAAATTCACCCTTTTAGGTACCTTCTGTTGGCAAAAGCCTTCAGTTGTATAAATACCACCACAACAAAGATATTAATTGGGGCTGAGCCCGTGGCGCATTCAGGAGAGTGTGGCACTGGGAGCGCAGCAGCACTCCCACCGCAGGTTCGGATCCTATATAGAAAGAACGTGGGCCATGGCGTGGTTTTCTTTGTTTTGCTCACAGGTCTGTTCAGAAAGTGTTCCCGACAGCAAAGGGAGGAAGGGTGGCTGATCATGCTGAGGGCAGAGAGTTGGCTTCACAGTTGTGGCAGGCAGCGACCTGAGTGTCCCTTGGGATGACTCTCTTCATTAGAAGTCCTGTTAGTCAGATTAATTGTGGTATACTTTACATAGAGTAAAATTCACCCTTTTAGGTACCTTCTGTTGGCAAAAGCCTTCAGTTGTATAAATACCACCACAACAAAGATATTAATTGGGGCTGAGCCCGTGGCGCATTCGGGAGAGTGTGGCACTGGGAGCGCAGCAGCACTCCCGCCGCAGGTTCGGATCCTATATAGAGATGACCGGTGCGCTCACAGCGCTCACTGGCTGAGTGCGGTGCGGCTGGTCTCAAAAAGGACAAAAAAAAAAAAAGATATTAATTGTCATCCCAGAAAAATTCATGTGCCCTTTGAAATCAGCTCCTCCCCAATCTCCTGGAAACCACTGATCTGTTTTCTGTGGTGGCAGAATTTTCCAGAATATCCTATAAATAGAATCATGCTTTTGCGTCTGGCCTCTGTCACTTAGCTCAGTACCTTTCAGATTTGTGGGTGCTGTTGCATGCATCAGTGTTCAGTCCTTTTTCATCACTGAGTAGTGTTCCATTGTATGACTGACTGTACCACAGTTTGTTAACCTGCTCACCAGCTGAAGACATTTGGGTTTCCAGGTTATGGTGACTATGAATAAAGCCACTATAAACATTTGCATACATGAATTCATATGAGTGGGAACATAAGTTTTCATTTTTCTTGGGTAAATTCCCAGGAGTGAGATTGCTTGGTCAAATGGTAAGTGTGTGTTTAATTTTATAAGAAACTGCCAAACTGTTTTCCAAAGTGGCTGTAGTATTTTGGATTCTTGCCAGCAATGTGAGCATTCCAGATGATGGACATCCTAGCCTATGGAATGCTCAATTGGGTTTTTTCAGCTATTCTAATAGCTGTATAAGGGTATCTCATTGTGGCTTTAATTTGCATTTCCCTAATAACTAATGATGTCAAGCATCTTTTCATGTGCTTATTTGCCATTCATAATCATCTCTGATGAAGCATCTATTCAAATCTACCCACTTCTAATTGGGTTGTTTTCTTATTACCGAGTTTTGAGAGTTCTGTATATATTCTAGATGCATGTCCTTTATCAGATGTTCAAATATGTTTTATAAATATTTTCTTCCCAGCCTGGCTTTTTTTTTTCTTTTTCTTCTCATCTCTGATGAAGCATCTATTCAAATCTACCCACTTCTAATTGGGTTGTTTTCTTATTACTGAGTTTTGAGAGTTCTGTATATATCCTAGATGCATGTCCTTTATCAGATGTTCAAATATGTTTTATAAATATTTTCTTCCCAGCCTGGCTTTTTTTTTTCTTTTTCTTCCATTTTCTTGACAGTATCTTCTGAAGAAATAGCATCCTTTTAGGAAATGAATTGAACTTTAGTTAAACATAATCACTATGTCTTAGCGTTCATTTTCCAACTGTATTTTGAGTTCGTTGTATCAATTTTGAGCAAATCATTAGTTCACATTTAAAAAAAACTCCCTCACTTATTAACCAGATTTAAATTTTTCTTTTTTGTTTTTTCAGGAAATTGGATACACTCACATGAGGGTAGCAGAAGGTGTAAGCTCCCTTCTGCAGATGGCAGGGCTCCTGGCCAGGCTGTGTGAGAAGACAATGGCCCCGGTGGCCAGTTAGAGTGGAGACTTGGACTGATTCCATTGCAAGAGTCCTCATCCCTGAAATGCAGGACGCTTTAGGCTGGCTAGACACTTTTTACTACTTTTCACTTTACACTCTGGCTGTCATGTTGTTTCTAGCACATCTCTGCCCCACAGGCGTTTGCATTCAACCTCAGACTCATGGATGTGGTGACGGGTGGGAAGGCACCAGAGAGGCTCAGGGGCCCCACCCTGGCCTGGGTGTGTGTGGGCGTTTCAGCTAATAAAACCTTACAATGTCTGTCAGAAATAAGGTCACATGAGGCAGGCCTCAAGACTAGCTTCCTGTCTCTCGGGCCCTTAGCACCCTACAAGTAGATAGTAGGCTGGACAGGCTATTCTCAATTTTTCTAGAAGCCTGAAGGGATTAGTTCCGTGGGGCGAGGGCAGGCTTTGCTGTAATTTCCTGCAGGACTGCAGCGGGTCGCAGGCTCTGAGTGGAGGACACAGCACAAGCCCTCAGGAGAGCTCCAGCCTGTCGCCTTTCCCGCAAAGTTGTGTGGATGCCTTGCTTTAGATTCCCCAGCAAGTTTGCTGTTAACTTGTAGAATTGTCTTTTTGTTTTTTGCAAAGTAGTATTTTTTCCACTTTTTAAATTATGAAAAATTTCAATTGTTTATAAAAGTAGAGGGAATAACACGGCGAACCTTCATGTACTCATCATCCACCTGAACGATGATGTTATTAGCACGGGGCCAACCTTGTCTCCTGTCTCCCTCCTGCCACCCTGCTTGGCTCTCAGACTGCTTTGAAGCAAATCCCAGGCATAGTTTCAGAACGATGTTTTTAAGGGGGTGGAGGTGACAGCTTCCATGACTGACACAACATGGTCTCATGTGGAAAGCTGTCATTGAAACACCTTGCAAGCATGCTGGCCCGTGGACAAAGCTGCTGAGTGTGACTGTATGTGCCTGTGCTGCCGAGAGCTGGCAAAGCTGGGCAGGCTCTTGGGCTTGCTCTTCCCTTGAGTTGTGGGTCACAGATGGCCTCATGTTCTAGTCTGAATTTTTGGGAGCAGGCAGGTCAGGACCCTGAGTGGGGACCCTAAACAGACCCAGGAAAGTTTCCAGTGACTGGCTCTTTGGGTTAGGGTTTCAGTTAAGGGGGAAAAATTTAAAATAATTAAAGCCCTCAGACTGCAAGATGTTTTAGTTTTACAAAATGCTTTTGCACAACTCCATCTTATTTTTTTAATCGGGAATCTCATGACACCTGTGAGGTGGAGGAAGGGCACTGGGCCCAGAGAGGCATCTGGGATCCCACAGCTGGTGATGGCAGAGGCAAGAGTGTTTTCTCCAGCACTGGAGCCCACCACAACCCCTGCACCTCTGCTCACACCCAAGCTCACGGGAGGCTCTTGTCTCTGAGGTTGTGAGGTCAGGACCAGATGTGAAGTTGCAAGTGGCCAACAGTTGGGTCCTAGTTCTTTCTTCTCATTTCTTAATTTGTGGCATTAATTTCCTCTCATGGAAAAAATCAGTGGCACCCTGGGAAGAGGGCTGGACTCAGGGACCAAGTTCCTATCCACGGCCCTTCCTCTGTATGGGCCTCAGGCTCCCTTTCTATTAAATAAGAGGCTTGGTCTTTGTTCCCCTGAAAAGTTTTTTTACTTGAAGCAAGGGAAAGCAGACACAGAATTGGTGCTCTTAAACTAAAATGGTTTATTGAGATGTTTTGATTGGAGGAGGCATTTTATTTCCCTGACTAGAATTTCTGACTCGGGGGCCCTTTGGGTCCCTGCTCTTCCCATGAGATGGTCACGTCTTGGTCTGATCAGCTCAGCCGACACCAGTCCTGGAGCAGAGGAGGGTTCCAGGGCAGTGGAGGGGCACTACTGCTCTAACTCCGCCCCTCCCGCCCTTCTGCAAAAGTGTGGTGCACTTTTATCCACAGCAAACAGTATCTCCATTGAGGAGGTGTCATGAAGATGGCCATGGCCTCGTTATCCTAAGTGATCTGAGGTCCAGAGAATGGAGAGGCCCCTGCTAAAAGGCGAAGGAGAGCCAGGGCTCCCCCAGCTTGTGTGCTGGGCTTCGGTACCTAATGCTGTGTGAGATGCGACGGAAATCTCTACCCTGAAATTCAGAATATTAAATATGGCCCTGCTTATATAAATTAACTGTACAATGTTATGGATCATTAAAAAATGCCAACAACCAACATTAGTAAGCAATTTGGATCCAAGTCCAAAGCAGAAAAGGACACAAATACCAGTGCTGTGCAACATTTTCGACATGGGGATGGGGAGGCAGCTTGCCCTAAACTCCCTGCATCTGATCGGAACAGGAGCCATGTTGCTCTTGGCACCAGGCGTCTGCCCCATCCCAGGGAAACTGGGTCGAGGAGAGAGTACTGGTTGTGGGGCTGCAGCCCCACATGGAACTGTCCTTCCCCAAGCTGTGTCCTCAGGGTGTGTTGGTGCCCCTTCCAGGAGTAGCTGTGGCAGGGGCCTAAGTTGAGCAGCTCTGGAAAATGGTCCTTGGGAGGCAAACTGTCCCATGAGCTCAGCAGTTCCCTTGGTCCCTTCAAGGAAGAGGAGAAGGAAGAGTTCGTTACAAGGAGAAGGTTTGCCTTGGCTAGTGTGTTCCCTCAGGACCAGAGGGGTTGGTTGGGGTCAGTGTTCGGCTGCCTGCTGGCTAAGAAGAGGTGCCTAAACTGTTTCTTATTCTGGGCAATTCCACATTGAGTCTGAAGTCCTGCCTGTGCCCCTTGTTCTGGACCAAGGCTTGGGCTGTTCGACTTACCTGCAGCGCAGGGGTTCCCTCTGTGGGATGGCCTGCAGCCTTCACTTGAACGCATCCCGTGACCGGTGTATACACAGAGAGGACCCACCTCGACCCTGCCTTCCGCCGCGTCTCATCACCCCAGCGGCTGGGCCCCCCAGCCTTTCATCAGCATAGTGGATGCTTCTATGTGCAGGTGGGTTTGGATGTGATGTGTCTGTCGGCCACAGCCTGACCACGCACTTGCCCCACTGCAGCATTTCTGCCATTTTAAAAACGTTCACAACCCCTCCAGCGCCTGCCCCATTTCTCTGCTCCCCTCCAAATTGAAACCTCTTGAAGAATGATCTCTACCTGCTGTCCTTGCAAACAGGCTTTCTCCCACCATGTCCCCCAAACTCGTCAACCATGTCCATCATCGCTCAGTTCTGTCACCCCGACCTCTCTGCTGTGCTCAGCCACACCCTCCCTGAGTCCTGTCATGGGCTCCAGGACACTCCCACCTTCTGGCCTGGGAGGGGCCAGAGATCAGTGCCAGGCCTTGTTGATGGTCAGCCCATCCTCTGACTTTCAGCACATCCAGCTACAATCTACTCCCTGAGTCCTGTCATGGGCTCCAGGACACTCCCACCTTCTGGCCTGGGAGGGGCCAGAGCTCAGTGCCAGGCCTTGTTGATGGTCAGCCCATCCTCTGACTTTCAGCACATCCAGCTACAATCTATATTTCTAACCTGATCCTCTTCTCTGAGTCCAGGCTCAGATAGTCACCTGCCCGTTTCATATTCCACCTGGATGGGCATCTTCAGCTTAGCATGTCTGGAAATAAACTCCCAGCCATTCCCACAAAACCTGCTGCTCCTACACCTTACAGATCTCCCTTGCTGACAGTGACACCCTCTCGTGGCTCAGGCCAAAGCTGCCTGCAGTTCTCAACTGCTGTCTCACACCCACCCCAGTGCAGAACACATCTGTTTCTGCCCCCACCCCCACTGCCACCAGCCTGGGCCACATTCCTCTGGCACTGGATTCTTGCTCATCTCCTGCCTCCACTGCCACCAGCCACCCTTTAGAAACAGCAAGTCACTCTTCTGCTCAAAACCTTCCCAGGCCCCTCCCTCCCATCTCCCACAGTCAGAACCCAGGTGTGGGCCCTGCCTAGCAGCTCCCCACCTCCCACCTCAACTCCTGTCACTCTCCTGTCATTTGCTCCTCCCCAGCCCCCAGGTCTCCTTGCTGTTGTGGGACTGTGTGCTCCTGCCCTGGGGCCTCTGCTGTTCCCTCTGCCTAATGCCCTTCCCCCAAAGGGGTGACAAAGGGAGCTCCGGGAAGGCTTCCCTGGCCTCCGTATTTAAATTGCAACACCCCCCTCTCACCTCCAATTCCACATTCCTCCTCCCCATCCCCCGCCCCTGCTAATCTCCATAGGACTTCTCACCAGCTAACATACCGTATTTTCTTACCTGATTTACCTCGATCTTACTGTTTTCTTACCTATCTTCTCTCCCACCAGAATGTAAGTTCTAAGGGGTCAGGTATTTTTGTGTACTTTGTTTACACTGTGTCCCAGCACCTAAAGCAGGGCTTGCCCATCGTGCAGGTGCCCAGCGAGTGCTGGGGGAACGAATGCCCATGGGGCCCTGCACACTGGGCTCCCACTTCTGTGGCTGGGGCTGAGCAGCCCAGGCCACCCGCTAAGATGACTGCCGCGTCTCCCAGCTCAGGACTTTGCACAGCCTTCAAAGGCCCTCTGCAGTTGACCCTGCTTCCCAAGCAGTGGACACAGCCTGGGCTGCAACATCTGACTGCTAGGTTCTTGTCCCCTACTCCGCTTACTCTCAATGTGACCTTGGGTAGACAGCTTGGCCTCTCTGCGCCTTTGGGGTGCCAAGAGATGATGTGAGCACCACACTGGCCTGCAGGTGCCTCCTCAATGCGTTGCAACCACTACTGTCATCTAATCTCCTAGTCCCCCGACTCCTGCCTCTGCTTCCAACATTGACCAAGCTCCTGCTGTGCTGACATTTGGTATGCAAAGAGCAGGTGCCATGAGCTCCATTTTGCAAGTGAGGAAATAGGTTCTGGGAGGTTGTCAGCTGCTGAAGGTGGCACAGTGAGGAGTAGGTGGCGGGGCCGGGAGCCTACCCCAAGCCCACCCTTTCACCCTGCAACTTTACCAGACTTCTCTGCTTGACACCTCAGCAGCCTCAGACCCTGTGCCTGTTGCCA